CGCGCGAGATTTTCCCATCACGCTCGCTGGACCGCTCGATATCGATGCATTATGCATCAATATCGTCGGAGTATCGATAATTTGAATTCAAATATCGAGCGCTATATATTATTATGCTATTTGTCGGCTATCTTTATTGGATATCTGGAATGTTTATTATTTTTTATTCACGATCTTTCTCAAAGATCAGTATTTTATTCCTATATCAATTTCTGACATAGATATTTTACTTCCGTCATTTTTGTTAATTGTTGACATCTGAAAAAAGAGATATATAGAAAAAAGATACTAATTAAAGATATATTTTTTACAGCTTAATTAAGAGACACCCCTGTACATTTTATAAGTTCTAGCATTATTTTCCCAATTAATTTACGTAATAAATCTTTTTTTAAATTATTATTAATATTTGTTTACTATTCTATACTAAATATAAATATATATATGTATAGAAAGATGTATACTGATATCTGATATCTACGGCCACACACATAGTGTCTGGAGTATTGGCAGAAGAATGAGCGTGTCCTAAATTTGTGCAGTGTAATATTTCCTGCCTTCTATTTTTTTGTTTCTTTTTTAATTACGTAATGGGATATTGATTCTCGTTCCAGATTATTGATATTTTTTTTTATAACGCTATCACAAACGTGACTCCGACTCTTTTATTTTATCGATATAGAACAAAATGCAAACTGTAAAAATAGCGAATTTTAGATAAATGTAATACTCAATCCGGCGATTAATTTTTGCATTTTACTGATAACACTAAGCTTTCTATTCGCAATCTTTTTTTAATCAATTGCGCGCGCAAACCTTTTCTATCTGATTTATTATTTTTATATTATTATTCATATTTTTCATTTCAGAAAAAAGAACCTATAATATGTTCTTTTATATAATATTAATATATTATAATATATGTATATAATATATCTCAGTAATTTGTTTAACTATATATCTTTTTCCATTAAATATTTTAATAAAAAACTAACCGTAAAATGCCAATTTTTCTCTGAAATTTTATTTGCGATTTGTGTTTTTATAATAATAATAATAATAAGTAATTTTTAATAATGATTAAAATAAACTACATTCTTTTTTAAGAAACTATTAGTTATTTACTTTTAATTATATTTTTTTTATGCTAAGAAAAACATTATTCAAATATACTCGATTAAATCATGAAATCGATTAATATAAAATTTTTTAGCAGAATTCTAATTTTCTACGAGAGATTAATTCTCTGTAATGATCAACAGGATATGTCATGTGATAAATGTAATCTTGCGCGATATGATCAATGCGCTTGATCGATAAAACAGTGAAAATAATCCGGATTGAGGCGCCACTTGTCGGACATGCGACGTCCACGATCTACTGGCAAGAAAAGATATATCCTAATTTTAATAATAAAAATGTTTTAAACATTCCATCAGATTTTTATTAAAAAAAAAAAAACGCATGAAATACGAGATTCTTGAAAATGAAACATTAATATTGAAATATATTTACACGTGAAATATTTTGTTGCAAACTCTAAAAAAATCAAGATTAAAATCGGATAATTACTAATATAAATTACTGATAATGTCAGGAAACGGAGGATGGAAACTCGGAGCGTGAATGCTTGCGAGGACAGTAATTTGTACACATATACACATTTTCTACACATGTACGTAAATACGTGTAATTTCATAAGTAACGTATACATCTAAACCTTATCATCAAACATAATGTTTAAAATTAACACTTACATAATAATGTTGGACGTATTGTGCGAAAATCGTAACATGTGTACTTGATTCTTATTTAATGTGTGCGTATATATATATGTGCGCGTGGTTATATACATTTCAAGGATTCGATGCAATGATTACATATCGGCGAGAACGAGGAGTCTTGATTAAAATCGGAAAAATCGTAATTAAAGTCTGATTAAAATCCGAAAGAAATCTTTGAATTCTATCGAGCACCCGGTAAAAATGTCATTATTTTCATTCATTGGATAACTGATACGGATAAGATAAGGTATTCGATACGCGACGTATATCGATGATATCAAATTAACAACATGTATATTTTATAGTACTATTTTTTCGAATTTTATCGTTGCATCTATCCTGATAGATTAATATTTACAGAAGCCGGTATAACTATTAGAGCTCTCCAAAGATCTTACGACGAATTAAAAAAAAAAAAAAAGGAGAAAAAAAAGACTTACACGTCTGCGCTAAGGAACGAACGAACGCGAGAGCATCACAATATCGAAAAACCTGGCTTCTAAATATTGCGGAAGCAAATTACTCGCTCTTTCGCTGATCTTAATCACGCGAAATATCATTTTTTTGCGGGTGATATAATTCCAGTTTCAGAAATCCTACCGCAAGAGTGATATACCGTATATAATTAATCGTCCTCTTAAATGATTTCCTAAACAATTTGTAGGATCTTTCTTTTAGATTCTTAGTTTCTTTCAAAGCTGAAGCTATACCGCTCGCAAAATAAGCGCATCGTAAGTTATCGACGTCTATATTATCAAATTGATTATTAC